TCGAATGGCTGCTCCCGCCTATGTGAGGCGGGAGGGAGTGTCAGACTCTTACTGACTAAAAACCACCCCGTTCCTTCTCCTGCACGTCGAGTCAGAGCCCCGGTTACCCGTTAGGTTCTCCGCGACAACTCATATAGCATAGGCATGTTGTTAGCGTCTCTTTTCTGATTCTTCTGTTTTAATTTCTCAACTCAATGTTTTTATTACTTCCACTGTCACACTTTTATTGTCTTGTTTAGATTTTACTTATGCTGCTTCATTCCTGGTGCTGAATAAATGTTATTTTTTTCTTTTATTTAAATTTTCCACAATGAAAGTAGTCTGTTATAGTAAAGTAATGAAATGAAATGAAATGAAATGAAAAATGTTTATTCCGCATAACACATGCACGCCAGAAAAGACATATAAATATAAAAAAAGCATAAAAACAGAAAAATTAAAAGATAAAAGTTAAATTATAAAACTAAAACTATTATTATTATTATTAAGTATATTATTATTATTAAGTATATATATTTTTACATATTACAAACATCAAACAAACACTCTAATTTTAAAAAACTATTTAGATATTACATGTAGGTACGGTTGATGACAGGGTATGAAAACGAATGAATCTATTACGCTCCCGCCAAATGATTTGACCAGGAACAATTTCTTTTTAATTTATTTACACTTTTTGCACAATGGGTATACAATGACGGACTTAATCCTAGTGATATCTCTAATTATCAATTAGCTAAAAGCAGATTAACCTACCAGAAATATAATTTTGAATAATGAGATCCGTACAAGATGTCGTTATGGAAATTATCGCTTAGCAACAAATTATTCTCCTAGAAGCATAAAAGACAATAGACAATCTAAAAATCTCTAAAAATATAAAAAAAAATAACATCTTTTTTATCTGTATCATGTTATACCGATAACATCAAGTAGGTTATTTCAGTAGGTATTAAACAATGTGATCTTACAATCTCAAAACTAGTGCACATGACGTAACGCACAGTCTGTTGACATATGAAAAATTATCATCGCGAGCTCCATATAAAGATACTTGATAATTTTACTAAGAAATCTTATTTAGTAGTTCACTATATCAATGATCTATGGGCGTCATTATTTATTTTTACAATTGATTTCGACGTCATGCGGCCGAATATTGAAAGGTTACTCAATTTGAAGTATTGTACTTAACTTTTACACCTACTATTGTGTCTCCGCGGAGAACCTAACGGGTAACCGAGGCTCCGGCTCGACGTGCAGGAGAAGGAACGGGGTGGTTTTTAGTCAGTAAGAGTCTGACACTCCCTTCCGCTCACCCAGGCGGGAGCAGTCATTCGATGATTTTCCACCCTTAAAAAAAAAAACTATTGTGTCTCTGCATCGACATAAGGAGGCCATGCATGCTAGGTTTTGCATGATGGTTTTAGCCGTGCATGCATAACCGATAGGCAAGCCTTAGCGTGTATGTAATCAAACTGTACAGTTATCGGTGCACGTACTGTCAAAGGTCAAAAGTCCACTGCCACCGTGAGTGATGTTCACACGGCAGAGCGTAAGTAATTTCATATTAATGTGCATAAAAACGCACGCGTACGCACGGTTGAAAATATGCGTGTGCATGTGTGTATAAGCGCTGAAGCTCAACCGATAGTAGTCTTACGGTGGCAGTGGACTTTTGACCTTTGACCGTACATCCAACCGAGCAAATATCAAAATTCATATTTTATGCCGCTCTGGTTATGTTTGCGCGCGAGCATAACCGAGCGTGTGTAGCGTCCAGAGAGCTTGCCTGCCACAGTTCTCTTTTCTCAGTAGTTTGGTATTGGCGTCCTACACAGACCGTCACGTACTACGTAGGTCACTCGACAGAGAGTTCGTGGCAAGATGGTGCATGCAAAACTTAACGTGTATGTGTGGTATGATATAGTGGTTTATGCTTGTCGGTTTTGCATGCACAGTTATAACTATCATGCAAACCCTAGCGTGTGTGGCTGCCTTTAGAGAATGCCAATAGGCATAAGTCCGCCATTGTATACCCATTGCAAGGAGTGTAAATAAACATCGTGGCATATCTGTCATTTTGCCGCGCAGAACTTAACGGGTTGCCGGGGCTCCGACTCGAAGTGCAGGAGTAGGAACGGGGTGGTTTTTAGTCAGTAAGAGTCTGACACTCCCGCCTCACCCAGGCGGGAGAAGTCAATCGATGATTATCCCCCCTTAAAAAAATCTTTGCCATTTTACAAAAAATGTGTGAAAACTATACCTACTTAACTCGTCGAGTACCGGTTTTGCAGACACAATTATAGAACAATAGGTTGCGGTCACCGGTGACCGCTTGGTGTTTGACAGTTCAAGCGCAGCTTAAAATTAAAATTGCGTGGTGTTTGAGTGTTTCAGCGTTAGTAGCGTCCTTGAAGCCAAGTGTCTATTTGGTGACGACGCACTAAACTTCACAACTACTGCCAATCTGGCTGAACAAGCAATTTTTACGGGATATATTCAGAGATACTACACAAAATCCACTGAATTATATATATATTACTGTATATTATAAGAACTAATAATCTGCTTATAAACTACTAGCTTTTACCAGCGGCTTTGCCCGCGTAAAACTAACAACGTAATCTAGTATTCAATATAGGAACCAATTTTACTTTTAACTCATTTAAAATACGACCAACGAACTTTATAATATTTGTATAGATAATGTACGAACTCCATGAACGGTTTTCTTTGAGAAATATTTATTAAAACTTAATTTCTCTATTGTTACAGAATAATGGATTCGTTTTTTAGTCTGTTCGACCCTTCAGAGGGTAGCCAGAACAAGCCAAAGAATAAAAAGAGGCACAAACCCGAACAGGACACCGTAAAGAAGAAACCTGACGCACCCAAGGGTAAGAGAGTATTAGAGTACTTTTAGGAATGGAATGGAATGGACTGTATTGTAATGAAATGGGATGTATTGGAATGGAATGGAATGGATTGGAATGGTACTAGAAGGGAATGGAAGGGAATGAAGTGAATTGGTTGGAAATGCACTGAATTAAATTTGATTGGAAGGTAATGGAAAATAATGAAATAGATGGTAATAGAATAATAGGAATGCATTAAATGATTTGGATAGGAATGGAATTGAATGGATAAGAATGGCAGGAATTGGAAAGAAATTTCAAAAAAAAAAAATTCAAAATTTCAAAAAAATATCAAAAATCCTTTATTTGCAAAAAACATGTGTATACATACACCCACACACACATACACAGGTGCATGTATATAGGATGAACAAGATAAGGTTGCACTTAAGACATGTTTGCCACTCGTCATGGCGTGCAAATTTCAAGTTACAAGTCAAATTTTAATAATATTTTAATAATGAATGAATTTTTAATAATTGCAATTGTCAGATTTTAAATTATTAAATTATTTTTTAGATAATGTCATGAATGAAATAGTATGATATTGTCATTGTCAATAATTAGAAAGTAACTATCTATTATTTATTTTTATTATAGGACGTAGACGAGGCCGCAAGTCAGCGGTGAAGAACGAGACGTTACCAGAAGAATCTTCGTTCCTCTGTGAACCTGATCTCAGTACTGATCTCCTAGTGAAAGATGTTAGCTATATAGAAAACTTCATTGAGATTAATAAGAAGGAAGATGGTAATTTTTTAAAGTTTACATACCTTCTTTTTTTTTAATACGTTGCCCCCCCCCCACACTAGGATTGTCTACTGTGTCGTGGGTGGGTTTACAAACATACAAGTTCATATACACATCACACCCAGACCCGGAACAACAATCCGTGGATCGCACATAGAGTTGCTCCGTGCGGGAATCGAACTCGCTACACTTTTTATGGGGTTTGGTTGCAATCGAGCATTATTTCACCCCCAGTTACCTGTGAAGTCATACGTGGTATCACTCCAGTCGAGCCGACCTAGCAGTTCCAAAAGGATCCATCTATTTAGTGGTTGTTGCCTTGATTTTCTCAATAGCAAGAGATCGGGGGTATCTCTGCGTTACCTGAGTTCAAGGAGTCATTATATAATGTAAACTGTCCCATAGCAGTTGAAGTTACCGTATAACATAACATCACGCCTTTTATCCCCGAACGGGTAGGCAGAGGTGCACATAACGGCACTTAATGCCACTGTACAATGTAACACCCACTTTTCACTATTTATGTTATGAGTCCCATGTAATAAGGGGTGAGCCTATTGCTTTTTACTGTATACTTCCTCTAATACTTCAGTAAATTTCATCATCATCATCAACAGCCTATAAATGGCCACTGGTTACCAAAAGCCTCTTCTCACACGGAGAAGGTTTGAGCATTAATCACTACGCTTGCTCAATGCGGGTTGACAATTCAAACTTATAATTAGAAATTATAAGCCCAGGTTTCCTCACGATGCTTTCCTTCACCGTTTGTCAGTTCATGTCGAGGTGGCTCGGAGGTTTAAGATGCCCGCTTTTCATCTATACAGGTGTACAACCGACCAAGGGCAAGCACTAATGTTACTATATCAGAGTTATATATATACTTTCTAAGATTTTTTATGAATTAATGCATATCTTAAATCAATTTTTTCAGACAAAACAGACCCCGACAAGAAACCGAGGCGCAGAAACTCAGGACGCAAATGTAGACGGAAAAAGAACAAAATCTCCCCTCTAAAGGACTTACCCAACCAAGCGTGGGTAGAAACCAACCCAGACAATAACAATGAAACCAAAAACTGGAACAATCAACTTCTAGTACAAAAAATATGTGACGAGAACATCGGCAAGAATGTCAACGATTTAAAAAATGAAATGAAGATTAAAAATAAAAGGAATGAAGTATCGACTATCGATAAATTTCGTGATAGGGATGTCTATAATGTTATCGATAAGCTAGAAAAGGTTATTCTAAAGGACGATATGTATTTGGCTGGAGAATTTGATAGTAATGACTTGGAAAACGATTTCTTCTATAGCTCCGACGATTTGGAGGATTTTATCGATGATTCGTGAGTATTGTTTTTTATGCCTTTTTTTAAGGGGGGAAAATCATCGAATGACTGCTCCCGCCTGGGTGAGGCGGGAGCAGTCATTCGATGATTTGTCCTTCTCCTGCACGTCGAGCCGGAGCCCCGGTTACCCGTTAGGTTCTCCGCGACTTTTTTTACGCCTTGCCTTGCCTTTTTATACCCAAAAGGGTTGATTGTACAATGTAACACCCACTTTTCACTATTTATGTTATGAGTCCCATGTAATAGGGGGTGAGTCTAATGGTATAATTCGGGCACAATTGGCATGATGACAGGGTATGAAAATTAAAAATCTAATTATTCCGTCAGTTAGGTAATAAAAATATATTAGACACGTATTTTTTTATTTTGTCGTATAATAAAACAACCCTCGGATACAACGAATTAAGTAGTGGGAGGTAACTACGTCATTTTAGAGTATAAATCATACTCAAAAGTGACTTCATGCGATATTTCAAATCGATATATCTTCGAAAGTATCCGTTTCCGTAAGAAAATAAAAAATACGTGTCTAATGATTTTAAATAATCTACCAGACGGACATTAAAATAAAAATGACTCATCCCCCCAATTCCAAACTCCGTGCTACTACTGAGATTTTTTTAAAACTCAATAATACTTTGCCTGACCTGGGAATCGAACCCGAGACCCCTTGCCCAGCAGTCGTACTTGCTTTATTATCGACTAGCAGCCCGTCCCGGCTTCACACGGGGTAGACAATTTTTTTTTTTCAAAATGAAATGTAGCCTATGTCAAATTGGAAGAATGTAGCATTCTATTGGTGAAAGAATTTTTTAAATCGGCCCAGTACTTTTTGAGCCTATTCATTACAAACATACAAAAATAGGTACAAATCTTTCCTCTTTATAATATTAGTATAGATAGGTAAATGGAAATAAGTTCGAGTCAATTAATAGAAATTTAGTACACTTTGTCCCCTTATACACCGTTAAATTTGAATCGTTTTAATCCCTTGGAGGTTCGAACTGGTCCATGAAACACTACCGATTTGTAAAGATAAAATTAAAAAATAAAGTACTTTTTTTTTAATAACTCGAATCAATTCTCGCATTAGTGAATAAATTATGCGAACCGTTAGTAGGCAGCATTCCTATTAGTAACAACCTAACAACATTGACGCGGTCGCTGGTCAACGTGGACTCGCAAACATCAGTTGATCGAGTCAATAGCCGCCGTGTAGGTACCTACACTGCCCGACCGTCGACGATACGCAACGACCGACGACGACGTAGGTAACAATCTCGTGGCGCAACTTTTGGTTTCATACATTTTGCGAGTATAATCTTATCATTTGCTAATTTATTTATTTTTTATGTTACACCGCAGTACAAGCTTGTCATGAGTAGTATTCTGTTAGTTAAACCACAGGTCCATGGGATTAAAACGACTAAAATTTAACGGTGTATTAATAAAGTCCACGTATGTATAAGCGGTATTTTTTTCATCAGTACCTCAGAGCCGGACGACTCAGGAGACGAAGTTTACGGCAGTCTACCTCCCGAGCCCAGGTTCGGCAACGTCGAGTACAAACTGCAACTAGTCTCGCTGTGTGAGAGGAGGTTCCAGCATCTAGTTACTCAGGTACGGTTTTATTTATTCACAACATAACATCACGCCTTTTATCTCCGGAGGGGTAGGCAGAGGTGCACATTGTACAGTGGCACTGTACAATGTAATACCCACTTTTCACTATTTATGTTATGAGTACCTCGATGGCCGAGAGGTTGTAAGTGCAACTGCAAGGGGTCTCGGGTTCGATTCCCGGGTCGGGCAAAGTATTACAAGGTTTTAAAACAAATCTCAGTCGTAGCACGGACTATGGAAATGTGCCCGGTATATGGCAATAGGCTCACATGGGACTCATAACATAAACAGTGAAAAGTGGGTGTTACTTCTGTGTGCAGCTCTGTCTACCCCTTTGGGGATAAAAGGCGTGATGTTGTGTGTTATGTTATGAGTCCCATGTAATAGGGGGTGAGCCTATTGCCATATACCGGGCACAGTTCCAGACTCCGTGCTACTACTGAGTGATACTAGCGACCCGCCCCGTCAGTGTTCCGGTGTTTTCATGGTTGTATCTACTGTAGATCCTGGCTTACAGGAGTTGCAGCGGTTCTGGGAGGTTGTGGCGGGCTTGTCTCATTAATAAAAAATAACGACACTCCTCGGCTTCTCTCGGGTGCAATTTGCATGTATTATACATATAAACCTTCCTTAAGAATCACTCTATCTAATAAAGAAAACTGCATCAAAATCCGTTGCGCAGTTTTAAAGATCTAAGCATACATAGGGTCAGTCAGACGGCGGATAGCCACTTTGTTTTATACTATGCAGTGATAGCTATGTCGTGGTGGCCTGGAGGATTGAGACCGCTTCTCACGAATGAGGGTGTCGGTTCGAAACCTATCAACGGCAAGTACCAATGTGACTTTTTCCGAGTTATATGTACTTTCTAATATTATCTAGACACCACTGACAAACGGTGAAGGAAAACATCGTGAGGAAACCTGGGCTTATATAATTTCTAAATATAAGTTTGAAATCGTCAACCCGCATTGAGCAAGCGTGGTGAATTAATGCTCAAAACTTCTCCGTGTGAGAAGAGGCTTTGCTCAACACTTTTATAGGCTGTTGATGATGATGATAATTAATACTTATCATCATTAACAATTGCATCAAATCACTATAATTATTAATTATTATTAATTGCATATATATATACACTACTAGCTGGCCAGGCGAACTTCGTACCGCCTATTAATGTTTTTTCTCACCTTTTAAACCTTCCCTGGACTTCCACGAACATTTCAAGACCAAAATTACCTAAATCGGTTCAGCCGTTCTCCAGTTTTAGCGAGACTAACGAACGGAAATTGATTTTTTATTTATATAGATAATAGGCATGGCGAC